TCCTGCAATCTCCCTTCTAAATCACTAGTGCTTTGAATGTCAGGTATAAATCCCAATCAAGGCACCCTGTGTGCACCCCGGCAGGTCTGGGTGCTCTGGTTCCACAACGGCTAAGTGAACATAGAAAGCAGCGATCCATTCGAAAGGGCTGGCCTTTCCGCTTGCATTTAAATAAACAACTGAGCAAAGTTGACCCACCTGCCCTCGGCGTACCATGGTGCCAACTGTGAGGGATTTTTAGGTTTACCCTTTATGCCTTACTAGTTAAGCAGTACTGGTGGTGCAGTACTGAAAGCATTCGACTGCTAACCAAAAGGTCAGTAGTTCAAACCCACCAGCCACTCCGTGGGAAAAAGATAAGACAGCCTGCTTCCATAAAGATCGGCAGCCTTGGCAACACTACAGGGCGGTCTACTCTGCTTTACAGTGTCCCTATGAGTCAGAATTGACTTGACAGCAGTGGGTTTGTTTTTTGTTTATCTCATTAGTTCCTTTCACGAGGGTTAGTTGTTTTCATTATTAAGATTACATAATTTTAAATCATTTAATCCTTGCACAAATCCTGTGAAGTATATGTTACTTCCCTTTCATGGAGGATAAAGAGTTGAGAGAGGCTAACTGACGCCCAGGTTTGCACAGCTGGAGCTCATGAGGCTGCGGCTGGGGCAGGTGGCCCATGGAAGGCTCACCTGAAACAAGAATGCTTATTGAGGTCTTAGAACGAGTTGCTGTTGTGTTAACTCCAGCTTGTGGTGACCCCACGGTGTCAGAGTAGAACTGTGCTCCACGGGGTTCTCGGTGGGTGGTTTTGCAGAGGTAGACCTGCACACCCTCCTTCTGAGGCCCCTCTGAATGGCCACGCTTCAGGTTAGCAGTGAGCCTGTTCACTGTTTGCACCAGCTGGGAAACCTGGCGTCCCAGAGGAGAGCTCAGAACAGAACTGAGTAGGGGCAGCTCAGCCCTACAGCCTACCTGACATCAGGCCGGGGCAGTCCTCACAAATCTGGTACAAAGAAGCCGTGTGTTTGCTGCTGCTGACCAGGAGTCTCCAAAAGAAACCACAGATGTACCTTGAGTGGGGGACAAAGTGATCCACGGGCCAGGCTAGGAGGCAGAGAGCCACTCCTTCGTCGCCCCCTGCTGGAGAAGGAGGGTGGCATCTGTGTGACCAGCCCCACCAGAGGAAGGATCATGCAGGACCAGGCACCCGAAACAGACGGCCCTGGGCTTCAGGAAGCCCTGATCTAAGCATCTTTCACTGAACATTCACTGCCCTCCGCTCCTGGGCCACAGCACCCGTTCCTCCGCACTCCCCAGGGTGTTCGGAATGAGCAGAGAGCTACAGAGACACGGCGGGTGTGAGCCCCCGGCCCTGACCCACAGTACCTTTTCCCTGTATTTCCTCCCACAAGGAGCACCTGCCCAATTCCCCAAACAAAAAGAGATGTCCTTCATCGCTGCAGGGCTTAGACCTGGGGACGTTGGGGCCCGGCCGAGTTCTGAGTTCACTTGAACACCAAGCCCCTGCGCTAGGGGTGGGGCAGGTGTCACTCCAGGACACTCGCAGTAGGAGGCCACCAGGCTGCTCAGGTGAGGGCCACAAAGACAGGTTACTGGTGGGGCGGAGTCCCCACCACAGAGCCTGAAATCTCCTGGGGGAACCTTTTAAAATACCGATGCCTCAATACCAGCCCCCCACCATGCCCCCATCCTGCCTCCATGTTCTGAGGTGCCCCCTTAGAGTCTGTAGCATTTAAATCCCTTTTCTTCTACCAAAGCTTCAAACCAAGTCATTTCAGTTCAACCCCTTGCTAAGAATTTGCATATCTATGAATCACCTGGGATCTTGTTAAAATGTAGATTCTGATTCAGTGGCTCTAGGGTGGGAATTCTCAGCAGGGGTCAACCCAGAATGAACTGGTTCAAGCCCTGCCCTTAACAGAAGCTCAGTGTCCCTAAGCAGGAGATCAAAAGGGCAGCACTGGCCCAGGGGTAAAGCTCTTTTGGTGTAGTGGGTAAGGCATTTGGCTGTTAACCAAAAGGTCAGTGGTTCAAACCCTTCAGCAACCCCAAGGAAGAAAGATGAGGCCACCGAGGATTTACAGCCTTGGAAACCCAGTGGGGATCTTTATGACTTGGAATTGCCTCACTGGCAGTGAGTTTGGTTAATAAGTTCAGAAGGCAGACAGGGACAGGAAAGGGGACAAAGTAAATGGTAAACATGGAGGAAGTGAGGAGAGAGCTATTACATTATGGGGATTGTAATCAATGTCCCGGAACAACATGTGTATGAACTGCTGAATCGAAAACCAATCTACTCCGTACACTTTCACCCAAATCACAATAAAAAGTTAATAATAATAATAGTAATAATAGGTGAAGGGGGAATTTGGAAACAGATAATGGTGATGGCTGCACGGTATAATATATGTGACAAATGTCACTGAATTGTACAAGCAAACAATGTTGAACTGGCAAGAGATTTGCTATATATATTTACCACAGTAAAAATATTGATAACAATTTTTAAAATATTTTTTTGTTTAAATTTCCTGTAAATTCTGATCTTGGGCGACATTGGGGAAGAAGCAGGATGAGCCCTTGTACCCAAATATTGGCCCTCTCTTTTATGAGTGTGGGAATAGGACCTTATTTTCCTAAGGCTCATTTTCTCCATTTTAAAAGTCACTGGATTCAAGGATTTCTAAGGTCCCTGAGAGTGTGGCTTCAAAAGGAAAAGTCCTGCAGCTACCCCCTACATCTTACAAGGTTGTGAGAACCAATTGAACTGGTCCACGTGAGAACGTTCTGGAAGAAGGTCTTCTCATTCGGCTCTGGGGCTGTGGCTTCCCTTGGACCCTGGCACCTGCTGACCCCAACATCACCATCGGTCCATTGAACAAGAGGAGACTGGAGTAATAATTCTCTTACCACAATAATCCTGTAGCCACCCTCTTTGGGTGTCTGTACTCTTGCTTCCTAAGTCAGCTAGAACCATCTAGTACAAGGGGATGATTGAATCGGCTGGTCAGTGGAGGACATGGTGAATGAACAAACAGTCAATCGTAAATCCTTCAATCAAGGCATGAAGGACTACAGCCAAAGCAATCCATTCAGGCCACTGGTAAATCATCTAGAAGCAGAGTTTGGCAGGATGAAGCCCGGATCCCTGCTGGAAACAACTTCCCATCTTGCCTCCCTCAGCCAGCACTATGAGTCTGTGTGTGGCTGTTGTTGTCAGTTGTCCTTGAGTCAGTTCCAACTCATGGTGACCTTCTGTACCCACCATGTTCAGGTTCTTTGATGCATTTGAGTCCACTATCATGGCTACTGTGTCCATCTGATCAAGGGTTTCCCTCATTTTCACTGACCTTCTGCTTGGTCCAACCACCCCGCATAACTGTGCACATCTCCAGGATGCAAAATGCAGTCACCTCAACATAGGATGTGATAACTAACCCTTGACCCCCAGAACAAGCTCAGCCACTCACACGGACTCACTCACTCAGCATGTGGACAGCCACGCGGACCCTGTGCTGGCCTCACCCCTGTGCTTGAGGGGTCCACAGCCAGGTGGACATGGGCGATCAATGAATAGCAAGAGGAAGTGAGAAGGAAACTCGTTTATTGAGCCCCAGCTGGTGTGGGCACATCACACACACACACATACAACATTCCAATGCAGTTCAGAGATGGGATTCCAGAGGTTTCCCAGTGCCAGGCAGCACTCTGGCCAGTCCCCAACCTCTGGGAAACACAGGACAGGCGCTGGACACCTTATTTTACAATCAACATTGAAACTGACAATGAGAGACTTGAGGAGTCCTCTCCAATGCTGAGAAGCCAAGTCAGCACTCAGAGGCTGCTGTGTCCACACGTTTCCCCATGTTTGGCCCTGACACAGGAGCCCACTAAGCCATTGACAACCAATATATGTTCTCTTCTGCAAGCGGGAGAAACCCAGGGGGCTCAGTGTCCCTAAGGATGGCTTTCACCTTTGTGCACACTTCCCGTCAGGACGGGAGACCTTCCTCATGCCTGAGAATCCTCCTCCTGCCCCCTGCTTTGCTCCCTCCTGGGAACTGGTGATTTGGGGGACCCTTTCTCCCTGTGTGACCTCCAGCACAGCTAAGAACATAAGTTCATCGGCTCGTTTTTTAAAAGGTTTCTTTTGAAGAAGTAAACTTGGCAAACATCTGGTCAGCATGTCATAGCACCAAGAGTTTCCTTACAATGGGCAGCTTGGGCGAGCGAGATGGCAACAGAACGGACGCTCCCACTGAGCCCCAGGCACTCAGGCACTGAGCAACGAAGAAAAACAGGATCAGACTGAGCTCCCAGAACTCCAGGGGCCGCTGAGGTGTTGGGAGGTCAGGGAAGCAGCTCAAAAGAAAAAAGAGGAGTCTGGGATCACAAAAGAGCTTCCCAGGTCCTGGCTGGTCACGGCCTTTCAAAATATTCTGTGCTCAACTCCTAAGATTGTTCTGGTTGAAGCTGGTGTGTGCCATCTCATTTCTAAACCCTCAGCTGCTAAAGTGAGCCCTCAGGCCTCAGACTGTCCTCTCAGGGCCTCCTCTGCCACCCCCCTTTATGACCTTGTGAACTTATTATTACATTTCCATTTTAAAAGGAAAAAAAAAAATTGGCAGCTACACTTCATTGTGAGGCTGTTGGGAGAACAGAGAAAAACCCCACCGCCCCCTAGCCCCACACATCAGGTTTTCCCAGTTCAGAGGAGCAGGAAAGTATCTCACAAAGCATTAGCCTATGCAATAATAATAATATAATCATTAACAATAATATTAATAATAGTCTGACCGACCAGCAGCACCTGTTGGTTTTAATAATTTTGAGGTTTTCCACAAAAGTGAAACAAATGATACAAGAAATTCAAACCCAAATGCGTGTGGCTGAACTGTGTCAAGACCTCTGGCTTCCCATAGGGCTCCGAGTTCAAGTTTCAGGGAATCCCCTGGAGGCTCCGGATGCTCCAGAATCTTCTAGGGGCCCTTCACGTTACCTGGCCGGGCAGCGAGGCTGGCGAAGTAGGCGCACTGGGAGGGGTCACACTGGCCAGGGGGGCCGGGGGGCCCTGGGGGTCCCGGATGGCCAGCCGGGCCTGTCTCTCCTTGAGGACCAGGGCTCCCTGGAAGTCCATCTTTAGCATAGCCAGGCTCCCCGGGTTGACCTGGCCCAAGGATCAAAGAAACAGAAAAGTGGTTCAAGACCCTTAGGGCAATGCTGGGATCTGAGTCCAGTTTTTGCTGTTGTTTCCAGGGACTGTTTCATGGGATTTGTAAGTCATGGAATTCCCTTCAAGATTCGAGGGATCCACTCCAGTTGTCTTAGGAAGTCAAGAAGCTGGCATTTTACAAGATTTGATACAAACAAACCACGGTTCTCTGGGCTCTTCCTCAAACAAGCCTGACCCTTCCTCCCCATCCGCTCCCGGGGCCCGTGGGACGGAAGGTGGCCAGCCGCTGTGAGACTTTCATCTCCATGGTGGATTCCCCCTCCCTAGACCAGACCATTCCTACCTGGGACCCCAGGCGGCCCCAGCTCGCCTCGCAGGCCAACTCCAGGCATGCCGGGGTCACCTTTGGCTCCTCGCTCACCTGGCAAGAAAAACGAGCACCTTGGTTGTAGAGACCCCCCATGAGGACAGAGACAGAGAGCCCTGGCAGAGGGTGCGGGTTCAGCACTGTGCTGTCACATAGCCCACTCCAAACCACCCTCGCTCACATGCACTCGCCAATGGGGTCACAGTGTTACCCAAACACGTGGACCCATGCCCGGAGTGACTCGGTCAATTCAGTCACACTGAGAGAAAGAAATAGTTTAACCACTCTTGCATAACCAGGGGATGGACAGTTTCAGAATAACGTCCACCCACCCCCAGTGGGCAAGGTTCTCACAGATTGAGCTAACGCTTATGATCATGTGCACACATTCCATTCCCAAGGGTGGGGCTCCTTGACCCCCAAGAAGGACACAGAGAGGCCCGAAGTGATGTCTCTGAGCCTCTTCTAGCTCTGGGAGGCATCCACACCAGGTGGCTCTGTTTTCCTCTCAAGGCTGACCACCCTGGAATGCCTCCGGCTGTCTCCTTGGCATCTTTGTGCACCTAGGTCTGAGCTCTTTCTGAGGGTATATAGTACGGCTAGACCCACACCACACTCCTCCTTCCTCACCCTGGGCGGCCTCCTTCCCAGAAGGCAGGCATGAATTACCAGGTTGGTGAGCTGGGCTTTGGGTCCTTCCCCTCTCTGTCCTGTGTATCTTTCTGCCTGCAGAGAGTCTGCATTCTGACCTGCTTGCTACTATATGCAAGCTAAGTGGGAATGAGAGACTGCTGTTTCCAGAGCTCCCTGCATCTAGGTAAGCCACCCCGGGAGCTAGAGTGGGCGGCCACTTTTAGCCACACCTATGAAGCCACTCTCTCCAATTATAAGGCTGATGTTCAATCTCCATTTTGCTGGAGATTGAATGTCTTATTTCTCAGTCTGTCTGGACTCAGAAGGGGAAGAGGGCAGTGTGTGGTGCCACCCCCTCTGGGACCTGAACAGGGGAGAAGGAGAGCAAACAAGAAAGGAGGTGAGAACTGGACCAACTGAAGCACAATTGTGCAAAGGTGTCAAGCATGGCAACCCCTTACTCAGAGGAAGAAATTACAGGATGCCAAAGTTCAGGGGGCACCACGCCTCAGGAATGAGAAAGGATGACTAATGCAGAATATTCTGGAGCATGCACCCGGCCCGGGCTCCTTCTCAGCCCTCACACAGTATGCGTCTCCTCCAGGGGCTTCACTCACCTTTGGGACCCACTGGTCCAGAGGGTCCTTCCAGACCCCCCTGCCCCGGCCGACCTGGCTCCCCCACGGGCCCGGCCCGGCCTGGAATCCCGTCTTTTCCAGGAGGTCCAGGGGGCCCAGGTCTGCCTTGAGATGCCTTCATGTGTGCTGGGGGCATCTGGGCCAGGAGGTAGGCAAGTCTGGCTATGGAGCAGGAAAGAGAGAGGTGGTTTAGGAAGTGGGGGCAGAAGAGGAAGGATGGGTGCACAGCCCAATGCTAAGCTCTCAACTGAGGAGACAGTGACCATCACCATGACAATGCAAATACCACTAGGACAAGCAGACACCACCAACAGCAAGCTGTGGGGTCCCTGTGTAGTGGGGCCCTGGGTGGCATGTGTGTCTGCACTCCAAGATGGAGAAACCACAGGGATGGGTCAGTCACAGTGATGACCATCACTGCCTTCCCCTGGCTGGGATCCCAGTGCTGCCATGAGAGCCTGGGCAAGCTCCTTGACCGCTCTTGGCCTTGGTGTCATCTGTAAAGTGTGGACAATGAGATGACTCTCCATGGGTTGGTACAAGGATGGAGTAAATGAGATGCAGCATCTAAAAGAGTGCCTGGCTCATGCTGTGTGCTCAGCCGGCACTGGCTGCTGTAATAGTGTGTATCAGTGGTGGTGGTGGTGGTAGTAGTAGTAATAGTATATTGTCATAGCAATTGTCAGATAGTGTCAGTGGTGGTGGTGGTGGTAGTAGTAACAGTCATAGTCATAACTGTAATAATGGTCAGATGCAGAGGCTGAAGCTCACACAGAGCTTCTTGGTGATTCCTCCTGAGTATCAACATCCTCATCTGTAAGCTAAAGGGCTCGATATGTTGGCCACTGGAGATCTTCACACATCTACTACCATTAAGATGACAGAACTGCTTGAATTCCCAGGTGTCCAGTTGCTGATGCTCCATCTCCTCCTGTCGGACAGAGTATGCAGTGCCCATATGATGGCCACCAAGAGCCAGCTTTGCCAGAATCACAGATTAGCAGGTCCACACCCTTATTGTGTACAGGTGGGGTTTTGGAGGCCTCTTGGCATTGTGGTAGTCAAGCCAAGGCAGAGGCAGGGTCTGGCGACTGTCCTGCTGATGTGCTCCCTTTAGCTGCCCCTTCCTCCCACTCACTCAGGCAGATGGGAAGGGGTCCTGTTGTTCTGTGATGCTGGCTAATCACTTCTCCGAGCCTTGGCTCACTCATCTGCGAGTCCATGCTTTCTCCTCAAAGGACTGTTTGGAAGAAAGGCCTCAGCCTACAAGAAGCTCCAACCAAACCAAGTTCACAGAAGGTTGTGTCTGCCCCAGTGGAGAGGCCATTTCTTCACTGATAAATGTAACATCCAGAAAGAAGACTTGGAACCACCACCCAGGAGACCTCAGGACGTCGTATGGACCCACCATCCAACCTTTAGTTTCCCTCCTTTCTTCACCCCCTCATCCATCCACCCTAGCCCAACTCATTACTCCAGGTAATGATCCTATGCCCTACTGTGTGTGGCTGGCCTGGACTCCCCACAGGGCTGGGACAAGCACTATCTTTGTTTCTCACTTGTCCCTAAGCGCAGCACAGAGCCTGGTACATAAAAACCAAATTCACTGCCATCAAGTTGACTCTGACTCACAGCTACCCTCATTGGGTTTCCAAGGCTGTAAATCTTTACAGAAGCAGAATGCCTCATCTTTCTTCCATGGAGCAACTTGTGGGTTTGAACCATTGATGTTTTGGTTCACAGCCAAATGACTTAACCACTACACCGCAAAAGCTCCTTGAGCCTGGTATCAGGGAGGTGAAAAATAATTGTTTGAGGCATGACCAGGTGCAGAGAGGAGCCCTCTCCTTCTTACTCCCGTGCCTGGGAAGTCAGGTATGGGTTTCTCATCTTTCCTGATGCTGGGCTGGTAGCAACCATCTTCTCCTACAGTCTCCACCACAGAGGGCAGAGGGATGGTTATTATTCAAGACAGTATGGTGGTTAGGAGTGTGGACACCCATCAGGCTGCCCAGGTGCAAACCAAGCTCTACCACTTCCCCGCTCTTCAACCTTAGATGAATTAACTTAGCACCTGCCCTCCTTGATACTAACACTTGCCAACAATTGCACATGGTTCAAGAGGTTGTTGGGAGTCATCCACGAGGTAGTGTGTGCAAGTGTTAGGTCTCTCCCAGATGTGTGCAGACCCCACCTGCTGCCACAACTACCATTACCTTCCCACCCTTCTCCCTCACTGAGTTCCAGCCTGGACTGGGCACATAATGGACTGTGAGAATTAAACAATGGACTTTAGATCCCTGAATACACTGTCCCCTTGCTCCCCATGGGGTCTTTGTGTGTGCTGTCCCTAAGGTCTGGGGTCTCATTGAATCTTTCCATGCGCAGCTCACACAGCTGTCTCCAGGGAGCTTTCTCTCACCAGCTCCCACCCTCTAAGGTGCCTTCCTCTGTCCCCCTTCAATGCCCTCTTGATAAATACCACCACAGGCCTTTCCTTATTGTACTGATATCAACTTGTCTACATACTTGTCTATCTCCTACCCTGGACTGTGAGTCCTGTGAGACCCATAGCAGTTCCCATCAACATTATTTGTTGATTGAATCAATTATTAAAAGCACAGAATACATGAAAGGTCATAACAGAGGTGATTTTGTAGAAAGTGAACCTCCCCCCCTCCCTGGAGGTAATCAAAAGGGAGTCTATTGTATCAAATAAGGGCTAGACTTGAGGCATCAAGTCACTTCCCAATCTTGAAATTTCACAGGGGAGCTGGTCTTAGTATGTTGTTTTCCAAACTGGGTTGTAAATGCTCCAGAGGACAAATTAAAAACTGCTCTCTGGTGCTATCACAAGTCTCCAGCCCTTACCTGCATGGCTGTAGTAAAGTCCAGCTACTCACTTTCCAGCTGCCTTCCCAGTTCTTCTTGAATAAGCCGCCGCAGGGTGTCCATGGATGGAGACTCCCCCTAGGAAGGAGGAAGTAGGGTTATTTACCATCACAGCAAATCCTGCCACTGGACACCCTGGACAGCTCAGGAAGCCCAGAGGAGTGTGGGCAACACACATCCCGGAAAGCCCATTTTCCTAGTCCCATTTCCCAGAGACATGTTGCTGTCAAGTTGATCCAACTTATGGTGACCCCATGTATCACAGTAGAACATAGGGTTTTTAATGGCTGATTTTTTAGGAAGCAGATGGCCAGGTCTTTCTTCAAGATGCCTCTGGTTGGACTTGAACCTCCCATCATCTGGGTGGCAGCTGATGTTAACCATTTACACCACCCAGCGGACCCCAGCATGCACACAGAACACACATACCGATAAGTCAGAAGCACACTAAGGCTTCCACAGAGAAGTGAGGGCTTTCCACCAGTCCTTTCCCTTCCCCCAAAGAGAAGACGTTTGTAATGATCACAGGCTGAGGACGACACTGCCCCACACTGCTTTAGGCTGAAGAACAGGGTTTAAAGATTCTAGTACCCAGTCAGCCACCCTCCATCTTCCATGGAGGCTTCTGTGGCTAAGATGCTGAACAGGTTTCAGTGGAGCTTCCAGATGAAGGTGGAGAAGGAAGAAAGGCCTGGAGACCTGTTTCCACAGGGAGCCAGTGAAAATCCTACGGACCACAATGCTCCGGTCTTACCATGCACAGGGTCGCCACGAGTGGGGCCTACTCACCAGCAGTGAGCAGCCACTAAGCACCCACTCAGGAGAGGCCGTCTTTCTGAAATTGCATTTTTGTAGATGTTCTTCTTTGCTTATTAATTAATGTCTTTAAAACTCAATGAGGGAGTTCCAGTAAAATGGCGGAATAGGCAGAAAGATTGCACAGATCCTCTTCAACAAAGAAAAGGGGAACCAATTAACACAGATACAGAGATAATCCTGGACTCCTGAGCCTTGAAGGGAAGGATACAGAAGTGGACTAAACTCCAACTAGTAGAAGAACCTCCATGAAAACACCAAAAAAGGAGACATACGGAGCTGCAGTCTGGCAGTGATCCTGGCGTCACCGACAGCTTGGGTATTGCTGAGTGGTGGTAGGACTTAAGAATTAACCTAAAAATCAGCCCTGCTAGCCAGGGACTGCATGGAGGACTGCTCTGGGCCTGGTGAATAAAAGGGAAAGCAGCGAAGAGGAAGGAGGGCTGAACTGTGGACTTTTGCTGGTCTGGAGGGCGCAGTCATTTTGAAGGTTTACAAGCAGTTTGACCATTTTGGATATTTAAACTGACAGCATTCTCCTAGATTCCAAGGCCTTAAGAACAGGCTCCACTTGCCAGTAACCCCAAGGACATTCCGGACACTGACTGGAAAGGTGCAACATTCTCCGTGTTATTCTTATATCCCACACCCTCTTGGTGAGTGGAGGTGCAGCCATCCCTCACTCCCACCCATCTTCTAGGCTGACAGGAATTCCATCCCAGTCTGCATGCTCCTACGGAGCCTGGGTGCCCTGCCTTGCCCTGCCCCAATTTTTTTTTCTTGTTTTTAGTTTGTTTTTTTGTTTTAAAATTATTATTATTATTATTACTTTTGTCATTTTTATTATTATTTATTCTTCCCTTCCCAGATTCTAGTTGCAGCTTTTTACCTTTCCCTGCGCCTGGTTCCAATTTTTTTTTTTTTCTTTCTCGTGGTTAACTCCATTCCTTGTTTTTCTTTTTGTGTTTTTCCCATTTTTTCCTTCATTATTTTACTTCTCTGCCTTTTTTCTCTTATCTCCCTCTCCCCAGATATTGTGGGTCCCCCTCTTTTTTCTCTTTTTGGTTATTGTTCCTGCGTGATTATACAGTGTGTTTTTTGTCCATTTGCTTTTACTTATTTGATGGTTATTCAATTGTTATTTTTGTCTGAGTGGGAGACAGCAACAGTCCTCATACAATACAACTACACCCACACCTCCTGCAGCTTCACTTACTGAGTGAGAGCACCCACCTCCTTCTTCACCAATGGGCCAATGATAAACAACCACCAAGAAGAACCTGACTCACCCTTAGCTGTTCTTCACAAACAGTTAACAGATATCTAAATACAACAATGTCACAATGTCTCGGAGACAACAAACCATCACAGTCCACATAAAGAAGCAAGATAAAGTGGTAGAAACCAGGGAACAGGATACAGACCCAGAACACATCCCTGAGGAAGAAGCAGCATTGGAACTCCCTGATAAGGAATTCAAAAGAATTATAATTAGGTTTCTTCAAAGGATTGAGAGAGAGAGATCAAGGAAAACATAGACAAAACCCTAGAAGTGTTTCAGGAGAAAATACAAGAACAAAATGACAAAATAAATGAAAAATTAGAAATGATTCAAAATCTACAGATAGAAATCCAGAAGATTAAATTAAATTGCTAGAAATAGATAACACATCGAAAGGGCAAAGGAGTAGAATTGATGCAATGGAAGACAGAATTAATGAGATTAAAGACAAATACCTGAATACATTTTTGGAAATGGATCAATCAGAGAAAAGATCAAAACAAAATGAAGAAAGCCAAAGGTTCATACCATCAAAAGGAATAACCTACATGTCATTGGAATTCCAGAACAGGAAGAGAAAAATAAAACCACTGAGGAAATTGTCCAAGATTTGTTGGAAGAGAACTTCCCTTATATGATGAAAGATGAGAATATATCCATTCATGAAGTCCAACAAACTCCAAACAGGATAGACCCCAAAAGAAAATCACCAAGATGTATCATCATCAAACTCATCAAAAGCAAAGACAAAGAAAGAATCCTGAAAGCAGTATGGGAAAAACAAAAACTTACTTACAAAGGACAACCAGTAAGAATAAGTTCTGATTTCTCAGCAGAAACCATGCAAGCGAGAAGGCAATGAATGGTATATATAAAACCCTGAAAGAGAAAAATTTTCAACCAAGAATTATATATGCGGCAAAACTGTCCCTCAAATATGATGGTGAAATTAGGAGATTTCCAGATAAGCAGAAACTAAGGGAATTTGTTAAAACTAGACTAACCTTACAAGAGATACTAAAGGGAGTCCTTTGAACAGAGAACCAAAAATAGCAAACAACAACTGACCATTAATACACAAGACGACATAACCCAGAAACCACAGCTAAGGACATAGCCAAAGTAAAATAAGCTTACAAGACTGTAAACAGGGAACCAGAGACATCAATTGGTAAATGAGGTCAACTACAAACCAAAAAGAGGGAAAATACTGTGTAGTGGCAGAACTTCTAAATGGTGAGGAAGCCAAGAGAGTTGCAAGATAAAATCGACTGTTCTAAACTCGGGGCAAAAAATATAAATCACAGGGTAACCTCAAAGAAAAATGATAAACCATCACATCATAATAAAAAAGAAGACAAGCACAAATGTTCAGCAAATACGAAAACAACAGCATCAGAGGAAATGATAACACAATTCATAAACATAATGAGCTCAGCACAGAAAATAATATGAAACACAGGAACCAGGTACACCATGAAAAAACACAAAACAAAATGAGAGCAACCAATTCATATTTATTGATAATTACACTGACTGTTAATGGATGTAACACATTACTGAAGAGATGGAGAGTTGCAGATTGGATAAAAAAACAAAACCCATCAATATGCTGTCTACAAGAGACACACCTTAGAGACAAAGACAAAAATAGTCTAAAAATCAAAGATCAGAAAAAGGTATATCAAGCAAATGGCAACTGTAAAAGAGCAGGAGTGCCAATATTAATTTCTGATCAAATTAACATTAAGACAAAAACTACCATATGAAATAAT